CATTGTCCTAACCCTTGCCCTATCCTTAGCCCTAGCACTAACCATAGATCAACACCTATCTCTAAATCTAACCCTAATCTGAAGCCTAAGCCTAACCCATACACTAGCCCTAAGCCTAAAACTCATCTTAAAACTAGCCCTAACCCTGGCCATAGCCTAAAACAAAACTGAGCCATACCTCTAACACTAATCCTTAAACTAAATGAAACCCTAACCATACACCTACCCCTAACCCTAGACCTAATTAGAGTTTTAAGCCGAACCCTAAAACTAACTCTGACCCTGACTCTGACACTAATATTAACCCCAGCTCTAAACATCACCCTGACCTTAAACCTAACCCTAACACTCAACCTAGCCCTAACCTTAATCCTAAAATCAGCCCCAAATGTAACTCTAGTACTTACATTAGCCATAACCTTAACCATAGCACTAAATTAACCTGAATCCTAGCCATAATCTGAGCCCTATCCTGAGCTTTAAACCTAAACCAAGCCCCAATCATAACCCTAGCCCTAATCATAACCATAACCCTAGCCCCAACCCTAGTTTAACCCTATACATTACCATAAACATAACCCTAACCCTAATGCTAACCCTAGGTCTGAACCTAAAGCTATCTCTAATCTTATTTTTATCCATAACCCTAAACCTAACCTGGGCCCAAATACTAACCCTATCATTACTCTAACCCTAACCCTAACGCTAATTCAATCCCTAACTTTAGACCTTAACCTATTCCAAACCTTAACCCAGACCTTGTCCATAAAAATACCCCTAGCCCTAATCCTGACCCTACCCCTAAATCTAACCCTTACACTAGACGTAGCCATAATCCTAAACATAAAATTATCTTTAAACATAATTCGAGACCTGAAATTAGCCGTACCCCAAAACCTAGCCCTAACCCTAAAACAAACATTAGCCCTCATCCCAGCACTAAACCTATCCTTAATCATAACCATAACCGTAACCCAAGCTCCAACCCAATTCTAAATATCACCCTACCTCTAAACCTAGCTATAGCATTCTCTCTTTACTTAAATTTAATACTAAGACCCTACTCTATATTTAAGCTGAACAGTAACCATAGACCTAATCCTAGCCCTAATTTATCCATTTCCCTAACCCAAGCCCTAAGACTAACTCTAACTCACACCAGCTCTATCCCTAGTTCTAATCCTATTACATACTATAATTTGACCCTAGCCCTAACCCTGGCCCTATCCTCAGTCCTAACCCTAAACCTAGATATAACCCTAAATCTAAATCTAACCCTGAACCTAAGCTTAAGCCTAACACTAACACTAGCCCTAACCCTAACACTAATCATAAAATTAGCACTAACCCTAACCCTAGCAGTAACACAAAACCAAGCAATAGCCCTAACCCTAAACATTAACTTAAGACACAGTAACACTACATCTAGACCTAACCCTAGCCCTAAATTCGACTCCTAACCCTAACCTTAAAAGTAACCCTGACACAGACTCGTATCCTAAAGCTTACCCTAGCTCTAGACCCCATCCTAACCCTAAAGAAAAGCCTAACAGTAACCCTATCGCTAATTCGAGTCCGAACCCTAACCCTGACCATGACTCATATCCTAACATTAACCCTAGCTCTAAATATCACCCTAACCTTAAAGCTAACCCTAACACTAGACCTACCCCTACCCCTAACCCTAAAACTAACCCTAATTGTAACCCTAGTTCTAAAATTAGCCAATGCCCCAACCCTAGCCCTAACCCTACAACAAATCAAGCAGTAATCCAAGCTCTACACCTAGCTTTAACCCTAACACTAACTCTAACCCTAACCCTAGCTCTAACCTTATTCCTTACCCAAAGTAAAACCCTAACCCTCATGGTAACCCTAGACCTATCCCTAATCCTTAGGCTAACCAAAATACTAAGCCCATTAATAGTTCTAAATCTAGCCCTCATTTTAGCTCTAATCCTATCCCAAACTCTAATGCTAACCCTGACCATTATTCTGACCCTAACATTAAACTTAGGTCTAAACCTGACCCTAACCTTAGACCAAACTCTAACACTGGCACTACCGATAAACTTATTCCTAAACCTAACTCTACCACTAGCCTTAGACCTAAATCTAATTCTAAATCTAGCCTTAGCCCTAGACCTAAACAAAAACCTAGTCCTAGCCCTAACAATAACCCTTACCCTAACCCAAACACTACCCCTACCCCTAGACCTAAACCTAGTCCTAATTCTGGCTATAACCCTAACTCTAACTCTAACTCTAACCTGAACACTGACCAGCCTTTAACATTAACCCTACCTCTAATCCTGAGCCTAACTGAAAATATAAACCTAACATTAGACCTAGCCATAACTTTAACCCTAAAACTAGCCCTACTCATATCCCTAGTTCTTACATTACCCACAGCCCTAAGCCTAGGCCTAAACCCAACACAAAACCTAGAGCTAATCCTAGGCCTTAACCTAGCCCTAAGCATAACCCTAACCCTAACCCTAGCCCTAGTCCTAACTTAACCCTAGGCTTAGTCCCAACCCTAGCTCAAAGCCTAACACTTACCATAAATATAAACCTAGAAATATCCATAAATCTAACCCTAATCCTAGCCCTAATCCTAACCTTAACCCTAGCCCTAACCCTGACTCTAAATCTTCAAAATACACTAAACCTAACCCTAAACCTATTGGTAACCCTAGCCTTAACCCTAACCATAACCCTAACCCTAACCAGAAAACTAAACCTAGACCTAACCCTAAACCTAACACTCGCTATAACCCTAACCCTAGCTCAAAACCTAACCCTTACCATAAACCTAAACATAACCATAGCCCTAACCTTAACCCTAGACTTAAATCTAACCCTAACCCTAACCCTAAACCTAAATCTAACCATATCCATTACACTAAACCTAACCCTAACCCTAATGATAATCCTAGCCCTAACCCTAACTCTAACCCTAAAATTAGCAATTCTATTCCAAAGCTGAAGCATTCAGAAGCATATTTATCCGAAAGTACTGTTTGAGACAACAGGGAAATATACATGTACTGAACTACCTCCCCAAATTATTTGGTCAGATTTCTTTGATACTGCACAAGATTCATCTGTTAGCTTGCCCCACTAGGCGCACTTAATTTGGGACTTCTATGATAAAACGTTCTCTAAACAGATTAGGGTTTGTTTTAGGTTTAGAGTAAGGGCTAGGTTTAAACCTAGTGTTAGGTTTAGAGTCATGTATCTTTGATAATGGGCAAGATTCATATTTTACCTAGCCTCAAAATGTTCTCTGGTTTGGGCCTTCTTGGTTCAATGGTTTGCTGTCAGGAACAGTTTGTATTTTAAGGTTTCACTTAATTTTGAACTATTTTGTTGAAGAGCAATGGAGCATGAAATCAAACAGGGTTGGTGCTAGCTGCTTGAAACTGCACACAATCAATTCTCTGTGGGCACTCTCTGGTTTGTTCCTTGTTGCTCTCAGGTGAAACATGCAAAGCAACTTTATTTCAGAGCACTTTTGGAGAAATAAAGGAAATATGCATATACTGAAACACTTCCCCCAATTATTTGCTCAGATTTCTTTGATATTGTGAAGGATTCATCAGTTATCTTGCCCCACTAGGCTCCATTAGTTTGGGACTTCTATGATCAAAGGTTCTCTAAACAGGCTAGGGTGAGCTGTAGGGTTACGATTAAGGATAGATCTAGTGTTAGGTTTACAGTACTTTTGTTCAAATTTCTTTGATACTAGGCAGGATTTATCTTTTACCTAGCCTTCCTATCTTATCCTGGTTTGGGCCTTCTAGGTTCACTGGTTTGCTGTCAGTATTTCAGTATTTTTTTTTTTAATTTCACTTCATTTTGACCTATATGGGTAAGTGGAAATGGAGCTGGAAATCAAACAAGGTTTTGGCTAGCTGCTTGAAACTTCACACTCTCAATCAGTTCTCTGTGAGGACACTCTGGTTTTATCCTTGTGAAAGTATCCCAAAGGTGAGGCATGCAAAAATAACACTAGGCGAGGGCATTTTAGGAGACACCAGGAAAACATGCATATACTGAACTACTTCCCCCAATCATTTGGTCAGATTTCTTTCATACTGGGCAGGGTTCATCTGTTAGCTTGCCCCACTAGGCTCCTTATCTTTGAGACTTCTATGATCAAAGGTACTCTAAACAGGTTAGGTTACAGTTAGGTCTAGTGTTAGGGTTAGAGTTTGTCTTGTTCAAATTTCTTTGATACTGGGCAGGATACATTTTTACCTAGCCACCTTACTATGTTCCCCAGATTTCGGCCTTCTCAGTTCAATTCTTTGCTGACAGGAACAATTTGTATTTTATGGATTCACTTCATTTTGATCTACATGGGTAAATGGACATGGAGCTGGAAATCAAACAAGGTTGGTGCTAACTGCTTAAAACTTCACACACTCAATCAGTTCTCTGTGGGCACTCTCCGGTTTGTTCCTTGTGTAATGAATAATAAGCTGAAGCATGCAATATGGATTTATCTGAGAACACTTTAGGAGAAAACAGGGAAATATGCATGTACAGAAATAGCTAACCCAATTATTTTGTCAGATTTCTTTGAAACTGCCCATGATTCATCTGTAAGCTTGCCCCAATAGACTCCCCAATTTTGAAACTTCTATGATCAAATTTTCTCTAAAGATTAGGTTTAGGGTTAGAATTAGTGTTAGGACTAGGTTTAGACCAGGTGTTAGGGTTAGAGTTAGTTTTTTTTTTTTAATTTCTGTGATACTGGGCAGGATTCACCTTTTTTCCTATTTTGACTATACTCCAAATGTTTGGGCCTCCTACATAAAAGGGTTTTCTCTCAGGAACAGTTTCAATTTTCGTTTCTCTTCTTTTTGCCCTATAGGGGTGAATGAAAATGAAGCTGGAAATCAAACAGGGTTTGTGCTAGCTACTTGTGAAAGGTTAATAAAATAGGTACTTGTCATTCCGTTTTTCTGTATGCTTAATTGAATACTGTTGAAATCCTGAGAACTGTTTGCTAATCTTGTTCCCAGAATGTGCTGTCCCCAACTGCCAAACTGCAGAATGCACTCCCTCACTTGGTTGCAGGCAAACTGCCCACTCGCCCTGACCAGTCAATGAACTTCCCTCCCTGCCCTCTCCAAGAAAACTATATAAGCTCTGCTTAAGCTGTTCCCAGTGCTCTATCTCTCTTTGTTCTAGTGAGCCCTGAGCCCCAGCATGCTGGTCTCCAAATAAACCCTTTTTGCTGTTGCATGAGACAGTCTCTTGGTGGTCTCTTCCTCCGATGTTTCGCTGGTCCCTTACATTTGGTGCATTGCCCGGGAAGTGCGCATCGCCGGACAGGGAGACCCCAACAGACTCCTTTGGGGGGTAAGTAAGGCGCCTCTTCTTCTTCTTCTTCTTCATCTCCTCCTTCTTCTCCTTGTTTTTCCTTTGCGATCGCTCACAGCTTGGTTTTTGGCTCAGTGGAGAGCGTGAGCTCTCAGAGCCTTTCTGGTTTTTCAGTTTGGGTTGGCAAAGTGTGTTTGCCAGCGGAGAGCGTGAGCTCCCCCTGGCGGTGGTGGACAGACGTGTCCTGAAGCCACAGGCCACATTCTTCAAGGGACGCCTTGAAGGACTCTGGGAGGGACGGAAGTGCCCTCATCTGGGATGGAAGTGCCCTCATCTGGTATATTCTGCTTCCAACCCATCTGTTCTTGCCGGCAATTCTTTCTCTCAGGTTGAATTCACTGTCTGTTTTTAATCTTTGCCTCTGAACTTGTGTTACACGTTTACTGTGTGTGTCTGTGTTTGTGTCACGTTTGTATTGTCCCTGTCTTTTTTCAAGTAACTTTCATTTTCATTTTCAAGTAACTGACCCTTGATCACTGGACTGAAGTCCACTTAAGGACTCAGAATCTTTCTTTTTCAGTAAAATGCCGGACTTGGCAGACTCTCTGTGCCTTAGAATGGCCCACCTTTGGAGCTGGATGGCCTCCAGAAGGATCTTTCTACTCCCCACTAATTTGAAAAGTCAAAGATATTGTTTTTTAGCCGGGGACACATAGCCATCCAGATCAACAGCCATATATCTTAACTTGGCAGGACCTCTGTGAATCTCCTCCATGGGTGAAGCCTTTTCTTGTCCCTGTCCCCGCTCCTACTCCTCCCCCCATGATTCTATCTCTCAAACCCTCTGCTCCTCCTCCACCCTCTGTTCTCCCCGAGTCTCAAGATTTGACTCTACTGGACTCTCCTCCCTTTCCTTATCCCCTGCCTTTGTTCCCCAACCTCCAACACCCTCTAAGTGATTCTCCTGCTGCTGACTCAGCCTCTCCACCATTGGAGGAAGTTAAGCCAGCCCAGCACCCTCCAGATGACTTCCCCGAGGCACACATAGCCCCTCCTCCCCTGGAGGAAGCTGGCCCGGCTAAAGGAACTCGCTGGCAGCGAATGATTAAAAACCCTGAAGCCCCCGTGATACTTCCCCTCCGTCTTTATGGGCCAATGATAGAGGATGGCCATGGTGGAGAAATGCAAGCCTACCAGTATTGGCCTTTCTCCTCTTCAGATCTATATAACTGGAAAAATAACAATCCCCCTTTTTCCAAGGACCCCACCCGGCTCTCAGGTCTGATTGAGTCATTGATGTTTTCACACCAGCCTACTTGGGATGACTGCCAGCAACCCTTAGGCACTCTCTTCATGACAGAGGAATGAGAGAGAATCCTCCTGGAAGCTAGAAAAAAAATATCCTCGGACCAGATGAGTGACCAACATAACTTCCCAACATAATCGAAGCCAACTTCCCCTTGAACCGACCAAACTGGGACCCCAACACCTTTGAAGGTAGGGAGCATCTGTCCACTTATCACCAGGCTCTAATAGTGGGTCTCTGAGCAGCCGCTAGATGGCCAACTAATTTGGCCAAGGTAAGAGAGATTATTCAAGGGCCTAATGAATCTCCCTCTATGTTTCTGGAGAGAATTATGGAGGCATATAGGAGATATACTCCTTTTGATCCTCAGGCAGAGGATCAAAAGGCATCTGTCAAGATGGCCTTTATTGGGCAAGCTGCCCTGGATATTAAAAGAATGTTACAATGCTTAGATGGATTACAAGATATGACTCTGAGAGATTTAGTCAGAGAAGCCAAGAAGTTATACTATAAGAGAGAAACTGAGGAAGAGAAGGAACAAAGGAGGGAGAAAGAAAGGGAGAAAAGGGAGGATAAAAGAAGCAAAAGACAGACTGAGGCATTGACTAAGGTCCTGGTCACAACAACAAATAGGCCAGTAGTTAAGAGACAGGGAGACAGAAAGGGATACCTGGGCCCACGCCAGAAGCCACCACCTCTGGCCTCAGATCAATGTGCCTACTGTAGAGAAAAAGGACACTGTACCAAATAGTGCCCTAGGAAGAAACAGCCACGCCAGCCAGCCATTCTAACTCTGGAGGATGACTAGGAAAGTAAGGGCTCGGATCCCCTCCCTGAGCTCAGGGTAACTTTTGATGTGGAGGGGACCCCAGTAAACTTTGAAGTGGATACAGGGGCAGTATACTCAGCCCTTAAGGACCCATTGGGCCCTCTATCTACTAAAAGATCTCTAGTTCAAGGGACTAACGGCAGTAAATATCGGGCTTGGACAACTAAGAGGACCATGGACCTGGGAAAAGGAAAAGTCCATCACTCCTTCCTAGTGATCCCAGAATGCCCGGCCCCATTGATGGGCAGAGATCTGCTCACCAAGCTCTGGGCCAGAATAACTTTTAACCCTGAAGGCCCCCAAATGGAATTTCTAAATCTTTCAGTAAAAACTCCTATAGTCATGGCTTTAACTATGTCAGTAGAAGATGAACATCAACTCTTCACACCCCCCATGACTGATCAAACAGGCAAGCTATCCCAGAAATGGATAACAGATTACCCAGATGCCTGGGTAGAAACTGCTGGGTTAGGCCTAGCCATAAAACAACCTCCAATAATGGTGGAGTTAAAAACCTCAGCCTCCCCAATTAATATTAAACCATATCCTCTGAGCAAAGAAGCTAAAGATGGGATAAGGCCCCATATTCAGAAATATCTGGCCTTAGGGGTCCTAAGGCCCTGTCAATCGGCCTGGAACACTCCCCTGCTACCAGTAAAAAAGCCAGGAACCGGGGACTATTGCCCGGTTCAAGACCTAAGAGAGATCAACAACAAAATGCAGGACATTCACCCCACAGTACCTAATCCGTACAATCTGCTTAGCACCCTGAACCCTGAGCGAAAATGGTATACTGTCCTGGACTTAAAAGATGCTTTCTTTTGCTTGGCTCTGCATAAAGATAGTCAGCTGCTGTTTGCTTTTGAGTGGGTAGACCAAGAAACCGAATGTCTGGTCAACTAACTTGGACCAGACTCCCACAGGGGTTCAAAAACTCCCCCACTCTCTTTGATGAATCCCTCCACAGAGATCTCAACAACTTCAAAACCATGCACCCTGAAGTCACCCTACTCCAATATGTGGATGACCTGCTACTGGCAGCAGACACCAAGGAAAACTGTGAGTCTGGGACCCAAGCACTACTATCTGAGCTTGCTCAACTTGGGTATAGAGCTTCTGTCAAAAAGGCCCAAATTTGCCAGCAAGAAGTAATCTTCGTGGGCTATTCCCTTAGGGGCAGTAAACAATGGCTCACTGAGCCCAGAAAACAAACTGTTGTGCAGATACCACCCCCATCTAATAGGAGGCACCTCAGAGAGTTTCTTGGGACTGCTGGCTTTTGCAGGTTATGGATACCTGGGTTTGTATCCTTAGCTGTTCCTTTATACCCGTTGTTAAAGGGAAATGCCCAATTCCAATGGAACCCTGAGCACCAACAAGCTTTTGATAACATCCAAAGGGCACTGCTATCTGCTCTGGCCTTAGCACTCCTGGATGTAGAAAAAGCCTTTACTCTCTACATTGAGGAAAAGAAAGGGATAGCACGAGGAGTGCTCACTCAGACTCTAAGACCCTGGAGAAGGCCTATAGCCTACTTATCTAAAAATCTGGACCCAGTGGCTAGTGGATGGCTCCATTGCCTAAAAGCTATAGCAGCGGTGGCCCTACTAATCAAGGATGCTGATAAGTTAACACTGGGGCAGAAGCTAAACATTATAGCCCCCCATGCCCTAGAGATCATCATCCTCCAGTCACCAGACAGATGGCTATCAAACTCTAGAATAACACACTATCAGAGCCTGTTGCTTGACAAGGACAGAATAATACTGGGACCCCCCCACCCCACTTAACCCAGCTGCACTACTACCTGAACAATCATCAGAACCCGTCACTCATGACTGTCAACATATACTGGCAGAAGAAACCAGTATACGACGGGATTTAAAGGATCAGCCACTGCCCCACCCTGAGGTCATATGGTTCACTGATGGCAGCAGCTTTCTCCAGGACAGTAAGCAGTGGGCTGGGGCAGCAATAGTTAGCAGAACTAAAGTCATCTGGTCCTCTAGCCTCCCGAAGGGAACATCGGCTCAAAAGGCAGAGCTGATCGCCCTCACAAAGGCATTAGAACTAGTGGCAGGCAAAAAGTCCACCATATACACAGATAGCCGCTATGCCTTCGCTACCGCTCATATACATGGGGCTATCTACCAGCAAAGGGGACTATTAACCTCTGCAGGAAAAGAAATAAAAAACAGAGATGAGATCCTCTGCCTCCTCTCAGCAGTGCAAAGCCCTAAAGAACTAGCTATAGTGCACTGTCCACGACACCAGAAAGGAAACGATCCTGTAGCGGTCGGGAACAGGAGGGCGGATGAAGAGGCTAAATTGGCAGCCCTAAACGGAGTAACCATGTTAACGCTTTCCACATGGGGGGAATATGAGTAAGGAGATTTAACTACATCAGAGCACACCGACAACTTAACATCTAAGGACACTGACACTGAACTCCTTGACTACACTGAGCCCAGCTTGCAATTTCAGAAAGCCCTACACTACGTTAAAAATGTACATCAACTCACTTTGAACTTTCTTGGTTCAAAGAAACTGCAGGCATTCCTAAAGGATAAAGAACAGAGTTTTCCACTAACCGCCTCACAGCGAAAGGAAATAGCTGAACGAGTAACAAAAGCCTGTCGGGCCTGTCAATTGGTTAATGCTTACCCCGCCAAGCTTCCTGTAGGAAGGCGCCTTCGAGGGACCAGACCAGGACAATTTTGGGAAGCGGTCTTTACTGAAATTAAGCCAGCAAGGTATGGACTTAAATATCTCCTAATCGTTGTAGATACATTTTCAGGATGGATAGAAGCCTTCCCCACAAAAAGAGAAATGGTGCAAATGGTGGTCAAGAAGATCCTGGAAGATATTTTTCCAAGATACGGCCTGCCTAAGGTAATAGGGTCTGATAATGGACCGGCGTTCGTGGCCCAGGTAAGTCAGGGGTTAGCCAGGACCCTGGAGATTAATTGGAGGTTACATTGCACTTATAGACCCCAGAGCTCAGGAAAAATAGAAAGAATGAATAGAACCATTAAAGAGACCTTGACGAAATTAAGCTTGGAGACCGGCATAAAAGATTGGACTATGCTCCTGCCTTATGCACTGTTTCGTGCAAGAAATACTCCCTCTGTTTCTTTGTGTAACCTCACCCCCTATGAAATTCTCTATGGTGCCCCTCCTCCAGTAAGGGACCTGACCCCAACTCTAAGACCTAACGATTCCTTTCACACCCCCTTGCTTGACAGACTTAAAGCTCTTGAAAGAACCCAGCGATACCTGTGAAAACAGCTGGCCACTTCCTACCAACCTGGAGACGAAGGGACTCCACATCGATATCAATTGGGGAACTTCGTCTACGTAAGATGACATCAGGTGTCATCCCTAGAACCCCGCTGGAAAGGACCATACCAGGTGCTACTTATAACACCTACAGCGGTAAAGGTAGACGGAATCACTTCCTGGATCCAGGCCTCTCATGTCAAGCCTGCGCCCTGTCCAGACTCTGGCTGGAAATTGGAAAAGACTGGTAACCCTCTCAAATTGCGTATTCGCCATGTGGATATGGCTATGGATTCTCCCCATGATCACCAGTAGTCCTAACCCTCATCCTCCCGTTCAGCAGCGATGGCTGATCACAAATCCTACTGGACAGGAAGTATGGTCTATCTCGCATACAGCCCCCTTAGGGACCTGGTGGCCATCTCTTCACCCAGACATTTGTCAGCTGGCTATAGGCCTTTCCTATTGGGACATCCCTGATGAAAAAGATCCCACTAAAATTCCATTAAATCCCTTCCGTACCATAGATAATGGAAACAAACATTATGGATGTAGGGACATGCAAGCCAGATGTAGGTTGGCTAGCCTGGATTATTATGTTTGCCCGGCGGACTATCGAAACTGCAAACAGTCACAGCTGTGTGGGGGAAAAGCCGACTTCTTCTGTAAGTCATGGGGATGTGAGCATACAGGGGCTGTCTGGTGGAACCCAAACTCCCCTGATAGTCTGATTCGGGTAAAAAGAAATAATACTAAGTTAAATCCCAAACAATGTCTCCCATTTAAACGGAGCCCCCAAGCGGGGACTTCTGGACTAGTTGACCCTACTCCATGTGACACAAATAGCCTATGCAACCCCCTAAATATAACCTTCACCTCCAAAGGAAGAAACCAAAATATCTGGGTATGACTTTCAGGAAAAACCTATGGAATGCAATTTTACACCACAGGATATGATTTTGGCCTTTGGTTCACTATCAGGTTTGAGAGAAAAGAAATTCCCTTGGCCATAGGGCCCAATCCCCTCAAGCCAGGAATTGGGCCTCATAGACAACCCAAACCTAAATCTACAAGGGCCCTTTCACTTTCCCATACTCCTCAAGTTTCACCTTCATTTACTTCCCCAATCCAGAGTGAAGTCAACCCTTTCCCCTGGGGGCTAATTGAAGGAGCCTTTGCGGTGCTGAATTTCACACAACCAGACCTCACTCAGTCTTGTTGGCTCTGTCTCTCCTCTGCTCCTCCTTACTATAAAGGGATAGCAATTAATGGGACTGATGCAGTAAAAGCGCAGAGTTCCTCCTGTAATTGGGGTGAAAATCCTAATTTAACCCTCCCAGAAGTAACCGGGGCAGGCTTATGTATAGGGTCTCCACCTAAAAGTAAACAACACTTATGTACCCAGATAAAAAATATTGGCATCACACAGGGTTTCCTTACTCCTGAAAATGGAACTTTGTGGGCATGTGACACAGGGTTAACTCCTTGAATTTCAGCCCAGATATTTAACAGCTCTGTAAATTATTGTGTAATGGTGCAGATGTTTCCCAGAGTGCTCTATCATGATGCAGGTTCATTTGAAGATCAAATAGGGGTGCATACAATCCAGTTTTACCGGGAACCTGTATCCCCCACTTTAGCAATCTTATTAGGAATGGGAATTGCTGCAGGGGTGGGCACAGGGACCACTGCCCCGGTCCATGGGACACAACAAATGACCCAATTAGAAAGAGCAATGGACCAAAACTTAAAGATATTAGAAACATCCATCAAAGCTTTGCAGGAATCTTTAACCTCTCTCTCTCTGAAGTTGTTTTACAGAACAGGCGAGGGTTGGGCCTCCTCTTCATGAGAGAAGAGGGCCTTTGTGCTGCATTGAGGGAAGAATGTTGTTTTTATGCCGACCATACTGGAGTTGTAAAAGAATCTATGAGCAAACTAAGAAGACGCCTTGAAGAGAGTCAGAGAGAGAGAGAGAGAGGCCCAAAAAGGGTGGTATGAGTCTTGGTTCACACAGTCCCCCTGGTTAACTACGCTTTTATCAGCCCTGGCCGGTCCTTTAATAATTCTTATATTGTTGCTAACTCTAGCACCCTGTTTGCTCAACCGTGTAGTTTCCTTTCTCCAAGCCCAAATTGGACAAGTCAAACTTATGGTAATCAGACAACAATATACCCCACTAGCAGACACAGAATGTGACACCCCCAATGATCACTTTTATGATTAAAAGTAGCCAGAAGAAGAAGTGGGGAATGAATGGTTAATAAAATAGGTACTTGTCATTCCGTTTTTCTGTATGTTTAACAAAACACTGTTGAAATCCTGAGAACTGTTTGCTAATCTTGTTCCCAGAATGTGCTGTCCCCAACTGCCAAACTGCAGAATGCACTCCTTCACTTGGTTGCAGGCAAACTGCCCACTCGCCTTGACCCGTCAATGAACTTCCCTCCCTGCCCTCTCCAAGAAAACTATATAAGTTCTGCTTAAGCTGTTCCCAATGCTCTATCTCTCTTTGCTCTAGAGAGCTCTGAGCCCCAGCATGCTGGTATCCAAATAAACCCTTTTTGCTGTTGCATGAGACAGTCTCTTGGTGGTCTCATCCTCCAACGTTTCGCTGGTCCCTTACACTTGAAACTTCACACACTCAATCAGTTCTCAGTGAATATTCTCTGGTTTGTTTCCTGTGAAGTATCCCTAAGCTGAAGTAGAAAGAAACAGCTTTATCTCTGAGTGCTTTAGGAGCAAGCAAAATACACATGTACTGAAAGAGCTTTGAATTTATTTTGGTCAGTTTACTTTGATACTGTACAGGATTCATCTTTGACCAACCTTAGTAGGCTCCCCAAGTTTGGGCCATCAAGGTTCAATGGTTCAGTGTCAGGAAAGTTTGGATTTTTAGTTTTCACTACATTATGGCCTATAGGTGTGAATGGAAATGGAGCTGGCAATCAAACAGGGTTGGTGCTAGCTGCCTGAAACTTCACACACTCAATCACTTTGCTGTCGGCATGCTCTGTTTTTTTTTTCTTGTGAAAGTATCTTAAGCTGAAGCATGAAAAAACAATTTATCCAAGAGCACATTAGGAGAAAACAGGGTAAATAGGCATGTACTGAAACACCTTCCCCAAATATTGGTCAGAATTTTTGATACTGGGCAGGATTCATCTGTTACCTTGCCCTAGTAGGCACCCCAAGTTTGGGACTTTTATGATCAAGCTCTATAAACAGGAAAGGCTTAGTTTTCAGATTAGGGTTAGGGCTAGGGTTAGAACTAATGTTCGGGTTAGAGTTAGCTTTGTTCAAATTTCTTTGATACCGGTCAGGATTCATCTTTTACCTAGCATTACCATGTTTCCCAGGTTGGGCCTTCTCAGTTCAAGGTTTGCTGTCAGGAACAGTTTATGTTTTCAGGTTTCACTCATCTTGACTTCTATGCTTTAGGGTTAGGGTTAGGCCTATGGCTCGGTTTTCTTTTACGGCTAGGGATAGGGTTAGGGCTAGATTTTGAATTAGTGTTAGGGTTAGGGCTAGTGTTAGGGTGAGGTGTAGGCTTAGGGTTAGGGTTAGATTTAGAGTTAGGGTTAGATCCAGGGTTAGGGTTAGGGCTAGGGTGAGTGTTACGGTAATGGAAAGGTTATAACAAGGGAAATGGCTAGGATGAGAGTTAGATATAGATTTAGGACTATGCTTAGGCTTAGTGTTAGGGTTAAAGCTAAAATAGTGCTAGGATGAGGGCGCTAAGGTTAGTGTTAGGGATAGGCCTAGGGGTAGGGCTAGGTTTAGGATTAGCATTAGAGTTAGGATTAAGTTTAAAGGAATGGGTGGGGTTATAGCTAGCTTTAGGGCTAGGGTGAGGGTTAGAATTAGGATTAGGGCTAGGGATAGTGTTTAGGTTAGGATTAAGGTGAGGTTTACGGCTAGGGTTTCTTTTAGGTTAAAGGCTAGAACTAGGCTAGGGCTAATGTCAAGTCTAGAGTTATGATTAAGGATAGTTTTAGGGTTAGGTTATTGCTAGGTCTAGTGTCAGAGCTATGTTTCGGGTAAGGGTCAGATTTAGAGTTAGGGGTATTATTAGGGTTAGGGTCAGGGTTAGCATTTGGTTTTGGTCAAAGTTTAGGTTTAGGGCTTGAATTAGTGTTAGGTTTAGGCTTAGGGTTAGGGTAATGGATAGGGTTAGGTTTAGGTTTCAGTTAAGCTTTAGGGTCATGGATGGGTTAGGTTTAGCAATAGGATTAAGGTTAGCATTAGGTTAGGGTTATGTTTAGTATAATGGATAGATTTAGAGCTAGGGTTAGGGCTAGGTGATAGTTTGGATTAAGTCTAAAATTAGAGTTAGGTTTAGGGCTAGGGCTAGGGTTTGGTTTACGGTAAGTGTTAGGTTTAGGGCTAGGGTTATGGTTAGGTTAGGGTAAGGGTAAATTTTCGAACTAGGGTAATGGCTAGTGCGAGGGTTAGGTTTACGTTCAGGTCTAGGAATATGTTTATGGCTAGGTTTTGGTTTAGGGTTTGGGTTATGGCTAGAGTATTCATTACAATTAGGGTTAGTTTTAGGGTAATGGATAATGTTAGATTTAGGGTTAGGGTTAGGGTTAGGTTATGATTTAGGGCTAGTCTTAGGATTAGGTTCAGTGTAAGGCTTAATGTTTCTGCTAGGGCTAGGGCTATGGTGAGGTTTAGGTTTATGGTTAGGTCTTGGGATACGTTTATGTTTAGGGTTAGATTTAGTGTTAGGGATAGGGTTATAATTAGGGTTAGGTTTAGGGTTAGGGTAATTGACAGGGTTAGAACTAAAGTTTGAGCTAGGATTAAGGTTAGGATAAGAGCTAGGGTTAGGGTTATGGTTTAGTATAGGGCTAGGGTTTTGTTTAGGGTAAGGTTTTGGCTTTGAGCTAGGGTTAGGTCTAAGGCAAGTGTTAGTGTTAGGGCTAGGGTTAGGGTTACGGTTATGCTTAGGGCTAAGTTTAGGCCTAGGATTATGGCTAGGTTTTGTGTTAGGTTTAGGGCTTGGGTTGGGATTATAGTTAGGGTTAGGGCTACTGTTAGGGTTAAGATTAGGGTTAAAATAGTGTTAGCACTAGGGTTATGTTTAGGGCTAGTATTAGGGTTAGGGTTATGGCTAGGTCTAGTATTAGGACTAGGTTTTGGGTTAGGGTCAGGTTTAGAGATAGGTTAATGTTAGGTACAGGGTCAGTGTTCCGGATAGGATAAGGGTTAGGGTTAGAGCCAAAATTAGGACTAGTGTTAGGTCTAGGAGTAGGGTAAGTGTTTAATTTAGGTTAAGGGTTATTGTTAGGGCTAGAGCTAGGGTTTTGTTTAGGTCTAGGGCTAGAATTATAGCTATATTTAGGATTAGTTTTGGATCTAGATCTAGTGTTATGGTCCAGTATAGGAATAGGCTTACTGGTAGGGCTATTGTTAGGGTTTGGTTTAGGGTTAGAGTCAGGTTTAGACCTAGGGTTACTGTTAGGATCAGAATAAGGGTCAAGGTTAGGGTTAGAACTAGAATGAGGGCTAGGGTTAGGACTAGTGATACTGTTAGTGTTTAAGTTAGGCTTTGGATTAGGGTTAGGACTAGGGTTAGCATTTGGTTTAGAGTTTGTCTTAGGGTAAGGGATAAGGTTAGAGCTAGGGATAGGGCTCGTTTTAGGGTTAGGGTTATGGCTAGTTAGGGTTAAGATTAGGGTTTAAGCTAGGGTTAGGTTTAGAATTAGGGATAGAATTTGTGTTAGGGTTAGGGCTAGTGTTATGGCAATGACTAATGTATGAACTGGGGTTAAGATTAGGGCTAGTTTTAGGGTTAGGGTTAAGGAAAGGTCTTGTGTTAGGGTTAATTTAAGGTTAGGGTGATGTTTAGAGCTAGGATTAGTGTTAGGATCAGGTCAGGGTCAGAGTTATTTTTAGAGTTAGGGACAGGGCTAGGTGTAGGTTTATGGTTTGGTTTAGGTTAAGGGTTAGGGTTATGGATATGGCTTGGTTTTAAGGCTAGGGCTAGGGGTAAGGCAAGTTTTAGGATTAGCATTATTGTTTGGGCTAGTGTTAGGGTTTGGTTTAGGATTATGGTTATGGTTAAATTTAGAGTTAGGTTTAAATTTAGAGTTAGGTTTAGATCCAGGGTTGGGCTAGGGCTAAGGATAGAACTAGGGCTAGGGCTAGGGCAAGAGTTAGAGTTAGTCTTAAGGCTAAGTTTAGGGTTAGGATAGGACTAAATTAGGGTTAGTGCTAGGCTTAGTGTTAGGGTTAGGCCTAGGGTTAGGGCAAGGGTTATGGTTAGGTTTAAGATTATGGTTAGGTTTAGGGTTATTGTTAGGTTTAGGGTAAGGGATGGGGTTATAGCTAGGTTTAGGGCTAGGGCGAGTGTTAGAATTAGGGTTAAACCTCGGGTTATGGTTTGGGTTAGGATTAAGGCTAGGTTAAGAGCTAGGGCTAATTTCAGGTCCAGCTTTACAGTTAAAGATAGTTTAGGGTTAGTTTAGATGTAGTGTAAGGGTTAGGATTAGAGTTTCGGTCAGGTTTAGAGCTAATGGTATTGTTTGGGTCAGGGTGGTGATTAGTGTTTGGCATAGGTTAAGGTTTAAATTTAGGGCTCGAATTAGCATAGGTTTAGGATTAGGGAAAGGATATAGTTAGGTTTAGGTTTCAAGTTAGGTTTAGAGTAATGGATAGGGTTAGGATTAGGGATATGGTAAGGTTTAGGCCTAGGGTTAGCATTAGCATTAGGATTATGGTTAGGGTAATGGATAGGGTTAGAGCTAGGGTTAGAGCTAAGGTTATGGTTATTCTTAGTGCTAGATTTAGGGTTATGGTTAGGGTTAGGGTTAAAGCTCGGTTTAGGGCTCAGATTAGGCTAGGTTTTGGGTTAAGTTAGGGCTAGGGTTAGGGTTATGGCTAATGTAAGTACTAGGGTTACAATTAGGGCTAGTTTTAGGGTTAGGGTTAGGGTTAGGGCTAGGTCTAGTGTTATGTTTAGGGTTATGTTTAGGGTGATGTTTAAAGCTAGGGTTAGTGTTTGCATCAGAATCAGGGTTAGGGCTAATTTTAGGGTTCTGCTTAAAAGTAGAATTAGGGCTCAGGTTAGAGCTAGGTGTAGAGTTAGGGTTTGGTTTTGGTTATGGGTTAGGGTTAGGAATATGGCTTGGTTTTGTATTAGGGCTAGGCCTAGAGTTAGGGCTAGTTTTAGGAGTAGCATTAGGTTTAGGTTTAGGGTTAGGGTTAGTGTTAGATTTAGGCTTAGGCTTTGCATTAGAGTTAGATTTAGAGTTAAGGTTAGATCCAAGGTTAGGGCTAGGGCTAAGGAAATGTCTAGGGTTAGGCCTAGGATTAGAGCTAGGTTTATAATTCCAGTAAGGGATAGGGTAAGAACTAGTTTTAGGGCTAGGGAGAGAGTTAGACTTAGTTTTAGGGCTAGGGTTAGGGTTAGGGTTAGGGATAGGGCTGAGTTAGGTCTAAGATTAGGGATAGGGTTGGTTTTAAGTTAGGCCTAGGTTTAAGGTTAGGGTTATGATTAAGGCTATGCTTAGTGCTAATATGGGCTATGGTTTGTGTTCAGGTTAGGGCTAGGATAATATCTAGAGCTAATGT